CCATTTCGCAATCTTTATTTTATCACAACTATTTCAGAAGATACAAAATTAAAATTCATTATAATGACGCATGATTTTGCGAATATATGTTCCAACTGAAATTATAAAGAATACGAAACACCAAAAAATGCATCGTATGTGAGTTCGCTTAGTTTATCCGAACGCGTTTTTAAAATCAACGCGGAATATCCGTGAAAGATCGAGAGACATTCCGTTTTGCGTTAAATACGCATTTTCTCTTCATTGCCGTCGTTTCACTGCCGGGACACACGTTTTGGGGTGAATGTACCGCATGTGCCTGACGAGAACGTCCTTACGGTTGGTCCTGTATCTGCAGAAATTGCAGTAGAACATAGATAGTGTGCCGCATAGGGTGCTCTGAAGATGACGTTGAAGACTCGCTTTACGAGCGTAATTCTTGCCGCACTTGAGGCACATGAAGGTGGACTTGTCCGCGTACTCCAAATCCTCGTGCTGCTGCCTCATTAGACCGAATCCTACAAATTAGACATAAGAACGTTAGAAATAGAGATCTACACTTTGTGAAGTACACTTTGAGAAGTACACTTTGTGAGGTATCCAGAAAATAGAAATTGGATTATGTTTTATTAAATCGCGCTGTCTTTATTGATAAATCCTGCCAACGGCAACGACACTCGGCATTAATTATAAAAATAAAGCTGTGACTAGGAAACATGTAATAACTTAAAAATATTCCTAGAGGCATATTCCGATTTCGTCGCATATTATAAGAAACGCAATGTGTAAACATTTATATAGAATATATATACATATTTGAAAAAGAACTTATCTATGAACCGCAAATCTTTAACAAAATAATAATTCTCACCTCACTCGTCATGCGCGAGTGATTTCAAAAATATGCAAGATATGTATAACATGATAGGTAGATAATAAACTAATGACCAATTTTGCATAAATATCGCAAACGCGTGTAAAAATATAATATAATATATCGTAATATATATGTACACAATATATATAAAATTTTATAAAATATCGTTACACACAACACATAACATGTTATACATTACAATTATTATGAAACCTGCAATAAATAAAATTCGAATCGTAATTAAAACTAATTTGCAACAAATTGTTAATATATTTGGCTGCGTTTTTATAAATTACAATTATATTCGCATTCATTGTTTAATTGCACATATAAAATAATCTGTGACAATAATAATCACAATAAGCATAAGATGAATAATATTTTCCATATTGTAACTATATAATTTTAAATGATTTTTGTTCATAAAACAAAACAATTTAAATTTAATAAAACAAAATAAAATTTAGGTTGCAATTTTTTTTATTACAATTTAGTATTTAACAACTTAACAATAGGAAGACTATCTATATTTACAATCTTGACTTTTCAGAAAGCAAAATTGTGCAAAAATCTCGCATTACATCTCTCTCGATCACATTACATGAACCTTCTTAATTTAATATAAAGGAAAGTTCTTATGTCAGTATTAAGATTCGCCTCGTACTTTCCCAAAATACTACAAAATTCCTAGGCCTAAGGAATTTTTCGATAAAAAAATGCGTTCTCGCGAATTTGTTTCATATTTATCGAAAAAATCGTTCAAGTTTTCTCATTATAACCGCAGTGGGAATCAACATGTCTCTTCGATCGCTACACAATGCTCGCGATTTAAGTGATACTTCAATAGGGTAGGTATCCTGGCCCGATGGGAGCAGTACGGGCAGGGAAAGAGCGGCTCCATTTGACAGAAGAAATTCATGTGTTTCCGCAGGCTGCGCCAGTCGCTGTACCGCTTAGCGCATTTGAGGCAGCGCAGCTCGTTCTTGCAGCACTTCCAAACGTCAGCTGGCAATCCGTCGCAGAACAATCGCATCTTGGCTGAAACATGATCAGAATCTCATGTAAGCAAAGTGATGAACATATATGGGACAGGAAGGAGAACATTGATTGATCGACCGTGTCATTGCCTCTATTGTATCATCGATTGAACTTGATGATCCTTCCAGGTCGTGAGAATCGAATCCCTTAATTTCAACAATCTATTCGGCAAAGAAGACAAGAATTCCTTCATTGGTACTAAAGTACGATTAAAAGCAGTGCCAAATACAGCATATCTCGAGAATCTCAAAAATAAAAAGAAAAAAGTGATAGAAAAAGAAATATTTATTTTTGTTGAGAAAAGCAGACTAAAATATTTAATATAATATATAAACACTTTCGGTTGATACTTTTTAATCTCTGAATTAGATGAAACACTCTGTATATAGCAGGAATTTTATCGATAAAATTCAAGTGCTTTGGAGAGATAATCCTGGAATTGAGACAATCAGGTTGCTTTTTCTTATACTCCCAGGAAGAGTTTTTGCGCGGAATTCGAGCGACTAAATAAACAAACAGATTCCTTTGTTCCTCCGCATCATTATCTGACGAGCACGAGATATGTACAAAAATGAGTCATCTATATCCCAGAGAACGTGAAAAGAGATCGAAGATACTCCCGTTCAAGCGTGTAGAGCAGCTCGTAGAGTGTCGTGTAAATCTATTTCCTGGCAATTGAGACAACCGGGATTCAATGAAATAGCGGAATATGTGTAAACCATATGACTTTATTATGCGTATAAGTAACACATTTTACAGAACAACAAAATTTCGTCATAAGTTGTACTCCCTTTACATCGCAAGGTATACATATATTTGTAACATATATAACGTATTGATGAATGTAAACGAATGTTCCGCGAATTCAGATCCATATGCAGATGCGACGATTGTCTTGTTTGTTTCTCTAACTATATTTAATTCTTTTATCCTTCTTTATCTTTATATAAATATATATATCCAAACAGGATGCGTCAATAGGAATAAAATTCTAAAAAGCCCGCGCAAAAGGCTTTACAATTTACTTTACTCTATGTAAACACAAATTTAAAACAATTACAATTATCACTAAAAATTGAAAATAATCAATAATTTTCGAATAATGATCTTCACAGCCAAGACGAACAAATATGGCCATTAACTTCCGATTTGTCGCAAACGTACGAAAATTAGATTTAGCAGTCTCAATTAAGTAAATCTACATATTTACCGCCTTTCGCAATTTCATTGTACTATCATTCAGTACTTGAATAATCCTTTATCGAGTTTATAACTCGTATCGCCACGCTAATATGTCACCGAAAAAGGTTTCTTAAGTGCACCAGTGTGTATTATCTTAGCCTAATTCCTCCCAACGTGCCGATAAAGTAAATAAATCGTGATAAAAGTGTAACCCAGTAATTAGTATCAAGGTAATATTTGGGTATAGACATGAGAAAAAACGCATATATCTTAGTTCCATCTTATAGCGATATGGTGGGCAACGAGGAAGCTGTTCCTCGTCGTTACAAACTCAGATTTGTGCAAAGTGCTTCACACATTGAAGTTATTTGAAGCGTATATGAAACGCATAAGATAACAAGGAAGCGAGCAAAACGTAATATCGTAACGTCAAATATCTACATACCGACAGACATGTGTGATTCTCATTCTAACAATGCTCTAGAAAATCAATAACAAAGCGTATTTGTATTGCAATATAACATCGATGTGTGCGCGTTACAAACAATTATGAAACGTTATTTGAGAGAAGGGCACGCAAATCGTTTCCAAATAGCAAACACAACACTGTCTTTTCATTCTCTCATTATCACCGTTCTTTTCCTTTTCTGCCAGATTTTTTTTAGGCATTTACACAGCTTAAAACAGTCTTAATAATTATCTCTTACGTAAATGTTACATAATTTATCTTAACATGATTGAGTCCAAGAGTTCAGAGACATCGGAGGCCATTCGGTATAACCCAGTTTTAAAAAATGCCCTCCATTACCAACAAAATGCATAATTTTGTTTATCAGAAAATTAAATCTCTCGCAAGTTCGCGCGAGCGCCACTTTATTAAGCTGCATCCCAAACTATCACTTGTACCAAACGTACAAAGTTTCAAAATCCACAGAAAAATGGCTTATATATATAACCAAATTTATAACCAAATATAAAGAATAAAAATAGATTACAATAATTTTAAAATGTCATAAAGTTAGTTAATAAACAAAAAATATACATATCTTATTTTCCATTATTAATTATTCAATTTTGATTATAAATTATGTAACTTATAAATTTAAACAGTACTTTATTAAATTTCAATATATCAGCATACGTATAATAAAAAATAATATAATTATAAAATATAATTTAAAGAATAAAATATATAATATATATTATATACATAGATTTTTTAGTATTTAAAAAAAATTTTGATATATAAAATAATCTTTATAAATACACATCACAATTGTCTGTGAATGACTTATGTCTCAAGCTAAAACTAACTGTTAAATTTGCATCATGCATTTAGAGTCACATAGTCTGATATTATTATATAATTTATATTGATTGAATAATAAAACGCAATCAATATAAAAATATACATTATCGATACAAGAAAAACTGTATTTTTGCCGCAACGGACTATTGAAGATAATGTGCATTTCATATTGAAAATTGAGCAAATTCGAAGCGCATGTATTTTGTTTTACGTAATAACAGAAAACGTAATAGCCTTTAACACATTGAACACCACAAACGAATATATTTTCTTATCTACGTGAAATAAAATCTATCTCACTGCAAATCACTAATGATCTCGATAATAGAGTATTTTCGATATAATTTTTTTCTACTTATTGATGGAAATCGTATAAAAAAATGAAAAAAAAAAAAATTTCGATAATTAATGAGTAATCACACCTTCATCGCGTTTCAATTAAAAAATGAAAGTATTTAAATAATAATTGGTGCAGTTCTTATTTTATATCGTCATTGTAACATTATTTAGTGTTGTAATATTATGTAATATTATTTAGAAGTTTATCGATATTATGATCTATCTGTAATTTTATTCAATTTGGAAACTTTTATTTTTTTCTTCTCTTCTCTCTCTCTCTCTCTCTCTCTCTCTCTCTCTCTCTGAAAAATTGAATGCTGGTCACCAGTGATTTTCATAGCATTTAACATGTTAATCTAAGACAAAGTTCTCGAACAATACATATTTCTTCCCTTCTAAACCGATGTCCGAACTCTTGTCCTTAATGAAAAGAATATTCTTAGAAATTGGAAAGTGAATTCTTCCGATTTTCTTTAAAAACTAACATTCCCGAGATCGTCCCGATGCGATAATTCGAGACAAAAAACCCTCTTTTATCAATAAAGACATACATTAGAAACGCTTATGTGAAAGAACTTTCTTTACGAGGAATCTCTTCGCACTCTAGAACTATCCAGAGTTTTCACTTCTTTTCCCAAATAACGAAAACTTCAATTCCTGATCGATATTAAGGCCCATTTTATCAATAGAATTTATTTTTCTCAAGGAACTCTATTGCTTACAGTTTGAAATAACACTATTTTTCTTCTCCTAATTTTCTCAATATATTCTTAAGCGATAATTATAGTATCTCATTTTTAACATTTTTCGAGTATTGTTCTGTACGAGCAACTTTTCAAAGTGGACCCGATTCGGCAGGAATCACTGATTTATTTTGTCGTGGAAGTGCTGACTATACTTATTGCAAATCCGTCGTTTTACGTTTTTCCAATCGGTCTACGAATTTCTTGGCAAGAATAAAAGTCCCAACGTCACTGCACCGCGTAAACCTTCCTCCACTCTCCGTACGAATCGTGATTCACTTGATGACAAGATTGCTATTACCATCGAGCAGATCGACGAATAGACCGATTTCAATGTTCATTATGTGGAGTAGGGAAGATTTCTCGGTTACAAACAATGCATTCTTATTGGCTGGTAGTTGGACGTAGAAGCATCAGCGCGTCTGTTGAATCACATTCTTGCAATATTTCTTGATATGTCTCTCTAAGACGGTCTTCTGATGAAACAGCTTAAGACAGAAAAAACATTTAAAGCGGGCCGGTACGCGGCACTCAAATGTTTGATGACGCGTTAGGCTGCCTCTACTCTGGTAGTACCTATCATTACATCTCTCGCACTGGAACTTGCCATTGGGATTACGAGGTTTGCCGCAGACATTCTTAAGATGACGTTCCAAACTATATCCGTTGCACAATGTTTTGGAGCATTTAGGGCAAATCTTTTTGCTTTCAATATTCAATTTCATGGCTTTCATGGCTACGGTGAGGTCAATCGGGGATGATATCAGCGATTCCGAAAAATTGTCTGAAAATCAAAATGGCAACGTTAGAGGAGGTCGTGAAGGAATCGGGTTGCAGAAAAAGGTGAAAAAAAAATAAAAGCTTTATTATGTCATTCAAAAAAAAATTCTTAAAAACGGATAGCAGGATGAATATAGAACATATGAAAGATTTAAAAAATCGCGGATTTTAATAAAATTGATAGTAATTAAATTAAGTAATTATAGTTTCGTCATACAATAATAAAGAATTGTGATAAATAATTGTATTTAAATACAGTAAATCTCAAATAAAAACTTTATCAAATCGTTAATAGAAAAGACAATCGAAAAGATGGAGGTACATATTAGAATGAATATAAAGAACATAAAAAAAAATCAACGCGGAATCTCAAAGATAAGAAATGAAATATAACGCATATAATAAATCGGCTGTTTTGCAATTTTGTTCGTCAATAGAATCATCCAAAAATCACACAAATATTCAGAAAGAAAAGAGAAGGGGCGGGGAAAACAGAGGAAACGGTGTGTATATATATATGTATTCCAGTAATAATTGTTAAATACATACGTGATAGCGATACGAAGGATGTACAATTCCCGGCATAAGATGACGCCGAGGAAAGTATTACGATAAGAATAAACATGCCATAATAAGAATAAAACAACTTGATGGTGACCTTGACCTAGGGATCAAATTTAGGGGTCATTTTAAGGCCAAATTGGAATTTTTAAATGGGGACCTCTAATTTTCATTGCATATTCTTGTAGCTTATCTCGAGAGCTTTTCAAAACACTATAATAAAG